ACTTCCTCTGGTTCAAAAAAGTACAAAACAAGTCGATCAGCCCTCGATTGGTGCACTCTCACACGCATGTTACCCGTAACCACAAATGGCAACCAACTTTTTTGGGTGGAGTTGCAGCTGCAGGCAAAGGTGGGCGGTGGGGGCAGGAGGCAGGAGGTAGGAGACCGCGAGGCCACTTGTATGGCGCACAAGTGGCGGTGCCAGTGGCAGTGCGACTGCAGCATGGCCATCAAGCGCCATCCAATCGCCATCGTCATCCAATAAATTGCTGCCCCCGGAGTGTGTCCGATGGCAACCAACTCAAGTTGAAATTGGTCAAAAGTTTAACATATTTGCGTGTGTGTGTCCGAGTGGCGTATTGGCTGCCGCGGGTCGGGACCGGAGTTGGTCTTTCCGGTCGTTTTTGGCGCATTTTCGGGGAATAAACGACCCCACTCAGCTTTTGCGTTCGTCGAGTGCCACCCTCCACAATTTTCGGTTTTAAGTATGCAACCGTGGAGCTCAACCGTTTAATCGTTTAATAAAAGTAAACAAAAATGTAACGCTTGCTTAAAACAAATTAAAAACTTCATTGGGTTTGTAAATTATAAAAATAATCAACTTCACTAAACGTAATTCAAACAGTAACTCTTACGAAAACTAAATAAGAATTAAATAATAAAGCTAACAATAAATTTTAAATGTATTTCAACAATTAATAAAGCTCTCCCGCCAGATTCATATGGTATATTTACTGCTAGTTTAGATTACACATTCAAAGTAATTCATATTTCGATTTCAATTTAATATTTGACTAATCTTTAACTAACAGCTTTAGTTTAACTACAGACTAAGCTTGTGCTTCATAGTAGAGGTACAGAATTGTTGCTCGAGTATGTATTCAATAATCTCATAAGGAACGTATTACGACTAAGGCCTCGAGGCAAAAGGCAGCGGCTATGAACTACCGCAGCATTGCAGGGTAAGTCACGGTTAAATCGTTATTTCGGTATCCGAAAGCGCACTAGATAACAATCTAATCGGGGTACTACCAAGACGTCACACAACCGTAGGAAAGCTTTGACTAGCACTTGAGATTCGAGTAAATGACTAAACAGATTCCACTGTGGGTGGCCAATAGGAAGCCTTCTAATCCTAGCTTTGGTTAGCATCTCAGTAGTTTACTGTAGCACACATACGGCCGAAGCCCCGGTATATTGGTTATTCAAACGCCGACGCATTCCCTCCAGGTAAATGTCGCGGCTAAAGAGGCCAGCAGCCAGGGGAATTCTGAAAAATAATTATGTTTAATACAAATTCAATAAAGGCAAAGCTTCGCAATCACTTACGCATCGGTTCCTGCTCGGATGAGTGTTCGAAAGAGCGCCCACACAGGCTTGTGGTCCGAGGTGGTTATCGACGGCACCGAGTCGTAGAGCAGGCACTGAACGTAGGGCTGCGTGGGCGTGGACACGCCAGGCACAAGAGTCTGCCGACGGATGACCAGGCCCTGCATTTGGCGGTACTTGTAGAGGATCCGATCAGTATAAGCGGGCGCCCGCTGCTTCGACGAGGTGTCAAAGTTCTGGCTTCCCGGATCGTACTTGTACGTGGGTGGAAATGTGATGTTTGCCTCCATAAATCCTCGAAAAGCGGCACCATCCGCCAGAACGGAAGTCAACTGGTCCGTGTGCATATATCCGTGTGGTAAGTGCGATGGCAGTGGGAACTTGGTGTTCTGAATCCACTCCAGCAACTTCTCGCGTGGCTCGCCCAGCCGAAAGTTCAGATCGCCGCACCAGAACACATTGTCAAAGTTCTGCGTTACATCCTTGTTCTTATGCCTTAGATTTGGCAAATTCCGGGGCAAATCCAGGGCATTGATAATCCGCTTCACGTCCGACACCCGCTCTTTTACCTTTTGCTGGTGCGCCGTTAAATGCGAGGTCACGAACAGCATGGAAGTGCCAAACAGGCAAAAGGATATGGCCACGGCTCCCTTGGTGCGAAAGGCAGATCCTGTGCGTACTGACATGGAGGCATCCTCGGGAACTGAGCAGTACCAGATCAGATCCCGTCGCATGTAAACCGCCAGGTGGAGAGTGCCCAGTGTCGTGGCGTGGAAGAGCACGTGGGAAGGTCCTAGAGTCTCCTGTATGGTGACTTCCCACTCAAAGCGGTCGGGTGTGGACTCCTGAGTGCCCATTACCACAATATCGGGAACGTGCTCTACATTGGCCGGCAGCACAAAGTCGTTTAGTTGTCTGCAATTTAAAAAGATTATAATTTTAAATTCATATTTTGGAATTTATTTACAAGATCTTATCACAAAGTCTTTTGAAATTGTTCCTATTCTTATGTATATGATTACTTACTTAGGTGGACTGTGGCCATTCATGTTCCATGTGCCCACGAAAATGGTGACCTCCTTTTGCGGCAGCACGCGGCCAAGCTCACTAGGTCCCAACAGCGAAGACGATCCCAATCTGCCATCTAGATAGCTTCGTTCCCTCGCCTTGTCCGCCGGGATGAGGTTTAATGCATGTGCCGCCATCAGAGTCTGGCGGGCCAGATTGGAGCCCGAACCTTGTCGTTGGAGGGTCATGTTTTCGTGAGACATAAACCTCACGCCGGGCTGCTCTTGCAAAGGTTCTATTTCATCTGGCTGGGTGGCAATATTGGGCGAGGACATGTGCTGTGGCGTAGTGGCTCTTTTAATGTCCCCGGGCTCTTCGGCGGACTGCAGAGGCGGCAACTCCTGTCCAGGTGGATATAGCTTCAAGCGTAGTCGGGAACGACAGGCAGATACTGCGATGGGTCTGATGGGCGATCGATTCTGTAGACTCTCGCTTCTGACCACCGAAGCTTGGGCCGCCGCCGGACTGCATTGGGCAAAGAACGTTTTACTGGCTACCGGGGACTCTGGAGCACTGGCACACTCGCTGGACGGACGCGGTCGGTGCGAGGATCCTTCACTAGAGTGCAGCGACACCGAGTTGTTGTCTACCATGCTCCAGCTGAGCGAGAGGTTGTCGCGCCGCAGCACATTGTTGCTATCTGGTATGGAGTTATATCGCACGGTGACAGGTGGTGTCAGTGGTTTCTTCTCCGCCTTGCAGCACAGACTGAACTGGTGGCTAAATCGGTTGTGATTTGGAGATCGGTGTTTGGGCGACTTGCGCCGCATCACCACATCGGCTCCTCCATCACTCTGGGATCCTGCATCCGTGCTGTGGCGGTGCAAGTGATTCTTGCTCTTTGAAGGCTTGGCGCGCCTGTGGAAGCTGATCAGCCCGCTGTGCGACTTCTCCAGCGGCAGGGTTTGGCTCTTGTGGTTGCTGCCATTGTTGTTCACATGGTTTCCTGCGGTATCAGCACTGCACTTGGCGAAACTCACATCGTACTGTCCACAGGCGGACAGCGGTCTTTGTTGGACTCTTGGGGATTCGGGGGTCACAGGATGTGGTTCTACTTTACTGGGTCGCTTGCTCAGCAAACCAAATAGAGAGCCAGCGGTCTTGTGGCCGGATCTCGGGCTGCTGGTGGAACTGGTAATCCGCTCCTCGCTTCCCGCGCTGCTGTGCTGCATGGTGGCTCCTCTGGTCCGAACGAAATAAATCTATCATCTAGGGTGCTAAGTGGTCATCACGCCCGTGCCTTTTGTCAAGTTAATTAGCACAATCTGGCAGATCTCTCGAACCCAACTCATTGTGCTATGGCCTCTGGCTTGCTGACCATATAAATAGTAAGGCCAGACGTCATCGAGCACAATGCAAATGCGACTTTGGTCCGGCGTTTTTCGCTGGCTGGCGGCGCAATGCAAATTATTTTGGGCACGGCGATGACGTACACTAAATCAGGCTAATTGGGTTGACTGGTGGGGATTGCGTGTGTGACGGGTTGGGCCTGTAAGATTTTAATGGTTAGTTTGTAATGCCAGGGGTATAAAACACTTACTCACCTGCAGGTAAATATGGGATTCGGTGCCAGAGAGCTGAAAGGATTCAGAAAATCAATATGCTGGGTAATAACTGTGGCGACACCACCGCGAAATAAAACGAAAGTGGAGGATTGTGGGTGAACTAAGGGGGTGGTTGGTCGAAAAAGGGGGGTGGTCTCTGCTGCTGTTGTCGACGACGACGTAACAACATTGGCATGCTGCGGCGCCCACACATCTATGAGCACTGTGAACATCTGAACACGAGCACAATGCCCGTGATTCTCGATTCTCTGGGATCGAGAGATTTATAATTAGCAGACCATTGTTGCCGCCAGCAGCCTTGTTTTTGTTGTTGTTTGCTTGGCCTACGTCTAGCATAAAAGCAGCAACAACACACGCGACATTCAAGTTCAGGTTCAGGTGCGCAAGGAATCCGTTTCTGGTATGTTTTATTATGGCGCGCACTGTACCTTCTTTTCCCTTATGCCGCACTCATCAATGTGATTTATGTAATTTTTCCTGATTTGCCGCTTTTTTTAAAGTTGTTTACGAAAACTAGGAGCAAGGCCCGTACCGTGGGAACTGCGATTTAGGGGTGGCCAAAGTGGATAGCCAACTACCGATATGTGGTATTAGTCGATAATAAGCGATATTAAAAATACAGATACTACCGATTTTACTTATATTTTCAAATAATTGTTTTTATTTCTAATTCGGTGCGTCTACGCTGTAATTTTGAAATGAAAATCCGCAAAGTGCGCATTAAGGGTGCCAGTGGAAGAATATTTTTAATTTATTTATTTTGTAATTTATATATTTTAACAAATTAGAAAAATTTTTTTCATTAAACATTTTTATTATATCCATGATTAAATTGCATATTGCGTGGGGTAAATAGTACGTTGTAACTGGAGTTTAAACTAACAGAGTGCGCGCAGAAAATGGAGTAGAAAATAACAGAATCGTTAACAGTGCACAAGAACTGTAAAGAGATTTTCGATTCTCGTCAGAGAACATCGATTGTGCCCGGCCAAACATCGATATGGCCGATATTTTGAAAACATCGATGTCACCGTTGCGGGCATTGATGTTTGCTCACCTCAAAAGTCGGTACGCGGTTCTACTCTACGGTTTTGTTTGACGGCAATATTCGACACCATGGCGGCGCAGACTATATTGTTTGATTTTACGCTCGACAAGGACAAAACCGCCGACGAGGAGTCGCGAGTGAAGGTGGCGAAGATCCTGCGGAACGAGCTGGAGCAGGTCTTCCCCCAACTGGAGCTGGCCTACTCGATGGAGTCTCCGGAGAACGGATACTTTGCGGTCCTGCACGAGAACAAGGACACGGTGATCACCTGCCGGATCTTCCAGCACGGCCTGCTGACCCTCAACGTGGAGTACTTTCTGCCCGACGGCAAGGAGCCGAGCATATCCTTCGAAGTACGTAGGAAGTCCTAAGTGTAGATATCTTGATTCAACCTGAAAATTCAACTAAACACCCAAATAACAAAAACACCACCCACATTTTCGCCCCCAAAAACCGCCCGTTTCCCGTCTTGCGTCTGATTAGATTGGGAAAGGGTTTTCCACCCACCAAGCAAAATTGATTTTCCGCGCACTTGCACTCGAGTATTGCTGGTATAGTAAATTATATGTGTGCGTGGGTGTGTATAAAAACGGGCGCTGTTGTGTGTGCTCTTGACCATTTTCCGTGCTCAAAACCCCGGCACTTGGTCAGGGTCAGTCGGCCCGTCCTTGGCCTCAAGTGGCCCTCCGGCCATCCCATCCCCAGTTCTATTATCTAACACCTCTGTAGCACATCGCATTTTCAGCTGGGCTTTGCTAGGTTAACTCGCAGCCCCAGTCCCGTTTTTCTTTCTCTTTTGGGGCCGTGCACGTGGGTCCGATTGGAGATCTATTGATTGGCGTGTCTAGGGGCATGGTTCTTATACAACAACTACGATAAAATGCCGCCCATATAGGCCTTTAAATTATTGTTATTTTACTCTCCCTTTTTAGTGGAAAATAATATCTTAATATGCCTCACCTATTTTTTCACAAGACCCAGTCTATTTTACATCTTCTATGCCTATAATCTCATACACAATCATTTTAAAGTGCGATAAAAAACTCATTCGAGAACAAATGTAAAACCATTTACTCTTTTAGTAAACAAAAAGAGAAGTTTATTTCAAAATTTCTAATTTCGTTTGTCACTTATTTAAGAACATTTAAAATAGGCAAAAAAGACTATGCCAGACACTTAAGGGTATTCAATTAGCTTTAATCAATCCAAATTTAAATTCTTGCGAAAATAATAACTTTTTACTGTGTTTCACTGTCAATATTTTATTCAGTTTTTTTTAGAGACTAAAAATTTAAAAATAATAAATTCTTTCTATAAAGTTCTAAAAAAAAATATTTCACCAAACTTTATAAAAATATTATTTGTTTTGCAAACCAAAATAACAAAGTCAAATTTGATTGAATTTATAAATGGCAAATGAAAGTTTGTTTCCGACCAGATATATTATTTTTCAATCTGCAACCATTCCTATATTTCACAATAGATGAAAACAAACGTTTTATTGGCATATAGAATAAAAACTATATAAATTCCTACAAGAAAATAACATATTGAAGACCCATTAATTTCACCCGAAATAGCTTAAAATACCAATAGCAATATTTTGTTGGGCGCAACTGTTGTGGAACTTTCCTAATCTAGCCGGCATCGTGTTCTGTTTACGACAGCTTGCTGTTAGTTCTCGGATTTCGCAATCCGCGTGTGGGCAAAGCCTTCTATTGTAATATTTGCAATTTTGCAATATGCCTGCACAAGCAATCACCACATGCATATTTGCATGGCTCGCTATATATTCCCTTTTTCGTTCTGTTCACTTTCCTTTTTCATAAGTATCAAGTATTTGGACTAAAAATAGTTTTTGTTGGGCCGGGCTGCCTGTGTCGTCTGGTGTGAGTGGTGGTGGGCCGTTCGAAGAGTTCCTCGCTCGGCGGTTGAAGGTCACCTTCCATTATTTTAATTTAGTCATCGTGACCCCCCAGCTGCCCATTCACATCCGCCTTTGAAGGACTTAAATAAAGGAAATTACCATTGCAGACCATGCGCACAGTGGAACTGATTTTGCGCCAGAAATTTGATTCCGATCGGTCCAAGTACTTGCCCCCGATTAAGCGCGGTGGATATATCGACATATACATGACTAGCTCAGGTTGGTCGAACTCAATGCAATTTACAATCAATCAACCAAATCCAGTTTAGTTCCTGCTAGTTCCATTTGCAATAAATATTTACTCGAACTCACTTTACATACAACCTACAATATATGCCGAAATTCTCTTTCAAAATTCCACTGCAGAATCTAGAACACCCGTGCAGTTTTTCCACTAGTATTTCCGATTGCCGCCACCGCAAACAAAAAAAAGAAATTAAAAAACCCTCATGACTATCACCTGAATTGAACACTTGCCTGGGTCACCAAATCTCAGCCGTTGTAAATTCACGAAGTCATCATTTCCCCCAATGAAAATTCGAACCGCCTCGTAATCTTTGCACATTTCCACACCCACAGATCATGTTAGCATAGTGTTACCTCCTAGAGGGGTTGACTTCTCTAGGCAGTTCCTGCATGCTAGTTTGTCCTATTTTCAGTCGGTCCTTGAATCTTTTATCACAGTGATGCCAATCTACCCTTATTAAGGGTCTAATTTTTGGATTTATGTTTTACTACATTTGTGTTTTGAATGAATTTTGAACTAGTCGTTAAATCATAAATTAATTAGTTACCCAAATTAATTATATTTGGAATAAATACACATAATATACATAGTTTAATCTATTTAATTACAACCTAATTTGCAATGAGAAAACAAATAGTTAAACTTGTGTTTTAAATCCCATGAATAATAAAATATACAGTTTTCAGAAAAAAGGATCTTTGGAGAATACAAACAGAGATTTTCTTAAAAAAGAAAAGGTTTCGTTTTTTCTTCAGTTATACCATTTAACTATTAATAGCCATTGGCATCACTGTTGTTTAGCTAACCCATTTTTTGAGATTATTTTTAATTTGAATTACTTTCTATTTTCATATGTATTATCGACACTCGACCGATCATTGATCATCATGAATCATGATCATCATCTCTTGGACCAAAAATTACACCAAAATTGCCTCGAACTGTGAATAAATGTGTAAAATATTGAACTATACTTACGCCCCAACGCACATGTGTCACCTGCCCCGCCTCGATATCGATATCGTACTCGTACCGCTCCTCGACGTACGCTCGCTCATATATTGGTTCCTGAACTATCAACTACCAACTATCAACAACACCAAAACCACCACAACAACATCACGCTCTATAAAAAATATAAATAAAACAAACACCGACGAACATGCGCAGAGCGCTAAGAGCCTGGAGAAAGTCCTGGCGGTCAAATTGAAGGCCATCAAGGCCCAGAAGCTGCCGACGCTGAAGCGCGGCGATGTCTCCAGGTATTTCCCGTCATCAGGTAAGGCAACCCCAATCCGTTTGGTTACCCATATTGCAAATATAGAGCAACCACTACTCGTACTACCGCTACTGTATGTCATCCGAAATGTGTGAACGTATGACCGTTGAACGTATGCAGCACCACCGAGCTGAAGTTACCAGAGTTCTTCTAGTGGCACCCAGCATGATAGATCATTTCAGCCATTTTACGTTCAGTCTTCTGATTTTTCGCATTTTTTTGTTTTTCCGTAAGAGTGCATTTGTTTGTCGAACTCCTCGTTTCTCTGCATGCGCTGCTAAACAATTGAGCCGAAATCAGTACTAGTAATCAATAACTAATTTAATTTGGCCACTGAGGCATCACTAATCTGATGCACTCTTTCGCAGATGAGCGCATCATCGAGTACGACATCGACAAGGTGGTTTATGAGGCGCGTTCGCCCTTCCAGAAGATTCAAATCATGCACTCGAAGACGCTGGGAAACATGCTGCTGCTGGACGAGCTGCAAAGTAAGTCAAGACTCAAGAATAGTTTAAGTACCATACATTTTCGGTGTCAGGGTCACCAATCGATTGGCGGAGGTACCACTGTAAAGGTCACAAAACAAGACCAAGTTCACAGGACGCAAATATAAAGAAAATCATTATCTATATATAAGTATATAAATATATATTATCAAATTGGTAGGCACTGCTAATGTTACTGCTATAAGCTATACAAATTTTCTTATGTTTACTTAATATTGCAAAATTTCATGTTTCTTAAAGGGACGAATAAGACTTTTGGTTCACCAAGATTTCATATTAATTTCAATGATTTTATTGGTTCTTCAAATTTAATCATAAAACTCCTACTAAGTGACAAATGTTTCGGAAATCATCAGTAAACCATTGTAAACAAGTAATAAATAATCAATACCAAGGTCGGATGTCTCTTAGCAAATGCAAACAAAATATTCAATATCACGGCCGGTTCGTAGTAAATGCAAGCAAGCAACCGAACGTGATACTGAATATGCATTAAAAATATTTATGCTTGAAAGTGCTTTTCAAGCGAATATATTTAATTTTTATTGTAAAAAAGTTGAGTTGCTGTAAAAATTAAATCAAATATTAAATTCTCATTATTTTTAAGCTAATAAATTTAATGGTATTGAATGATTATTCCTCTGCAGACATTGCCGAATCCGATTTGATCTACACGGAGACCCTTATGTGTCGTGGCGTGGAGAACTACGAGGGCAAGGAGATCTGCATCCTGGGCGGCGGCGATGGCGCTTTGCTGTACGAGTTGCTCAAGGAGAACCCAAAGCACGTGGTGATGCTGGAGATCGATGAGCTTGTGATGCAGACATGCAACAAGTACCTCAATGTGATCTGTGGCGATGTGTTGGAGAAACGCAAGACCGACCAGTATGAGATAATCGTGGGCGATTGTGTGGAGTACTTGAAGAAGTTCGTTGCCGAGGGGCGCAAGTTCGACTACGTGTTTGGGGATCTCACAGATATTCCCATAACCGATGCTCCGGAGGGCGAGACGTGGGACTTTATCCGTACGATCTTCGAACACTCGTTCAATGTGCTCAAGGCCGATGGCAAGTATTTGACTCACGGCAATGGTACCACCTGCAAGGTGCAGATCCGCCTGTTCGAGGAGGAATTGGGTCTGCTGCGTCCCAAGGTGAAGTTTACCACCTCCAAGGCGTTTGTGCCGTCGTTCATGGAAGAGTGGCTCTTCTACCAAGTGTCCTTCGCCTGACAAGCTCAGGGGGATCCCTCAGCAGCAGCAGCAATAGCTACCTTTAGCGCACCAACAACCGCCAATCACACACCAGCATCACACAGAATAAGTAAGGAGTCACGAACCGTCGGGGCGATGCTCCAGTTGCACTCCTACACAGTCACTCTCCATGGAGCAGCAGCAGGAGTTCGGGAGCAGGAGGAGGATAAGAGAAATGTGGGGCAATTGAAACCGCGACCAAGGCGCCGAAAGAAGCGGGTGCACTAGTCAGCACATGTCAAATCGAAAGCACAAGCTGATCGAAAGCATCACCATCGAAATCATCGCAACAAGAAGACCCAAACAAATGAAAACACGCACTTCCAATGGCTGTTACTTACAATTGAAAACCAAACCAAATACTGAACCCAATTCGTTTACGCTTAAGTTAGGCTTTAGTTTCGTTTCTCGACCACTGATTTCAATGTTAAAATTAAGTCAAAAGTACAACCTTTAAGCATGTGCAGGCTAAATAACTTATGTAATCGTGTTTATTTGAATTACGCCTAAGCATAGCATGTTGGACAACTATTTGTAGTATTTCGTATAACGTGTAAATCTATAATTGTAGAGCATATGTTTAGTTATCCATTAACGGGCAAATTGTAGCGGGGAAGAATGCCCGATCGAGAATGTGTGCATGTGGGTGTGAGAAAGCGTAGCAGAAAACACCAACTTTTATTGCTGTAATAACTATTAATACCAAACATTTTAAACGATACAAATTACAAAGTAAATAAATAAACATATGCGGAAAATGAAAACTTAGTTTTTTTGGCTGGTATTTTAATTAAACAACCTTAATTAAAAATTGTGTCAGATTTGAATAACAAGAAAAAATATAAAAAGGATTACAAAAAAAAGAAGGACTTCGTGTCCTAAAAAGTTACAAAATATCTTTTAACGAGAATTCCTCTAATTGAAATGGTTTCTATAAATAAAACATAATTTAAAATCAGATTTTAAATATTACTTATACGCAATGTTGTCATCTTATTACTATGTAAGCTGAGCATAGTTTATTATGTCAAACATTTCGTATACGTTATATTATTATGATTTAGTTAAATGTACTTTTTGTTTACTAAATGTTTGTTTAATAACAAAATAAAATCAATTATTATATAGTATACAGAGTATATAGAGAATCACCCTACCATCCTCACATAAAAGTGTTGTAAAATAGTGCGATACAGGAGGTACTAAATATGACCTTGCGGCGAGCACTTGAACGTTAGGTTTCACTTGTGTTACGTTGGTTTCACTTTTCACCTGGAACAAACCGGACACCATGGAGCGGAAACTGCACAGTGGGATGCACCACGCCACCCTGCGCCTGCTGCAGGAATCGGGATGCGAGATAGCGCCGCACAATCTGATGTATCCGGTGTTCATCGTGGGCAACGACGACGATGTTCAGCCGATTGCCAGCATGCCGGGAATCTCGAGGTTCGGCCTTAATCGCCTGCGGGAGCACCTGCAGCCCCTGGTGGCCAAGGGGTTGTCCTCGGTGCTGCTCTTTGGCGTCGTGGAACCGGAACTGAAGGACGAACAGGCCTCCAATGCGGATTCCTCCAAGAATCCAGTGGTTTTGGCTCTACCAAAGCTCCGGGAATGGTTCCCGGATCTCCTCATCGCCTGTGATGTGTGCATCTGCCCGTACTCCTCGCACGGCCACTGTGGCCTCCTGGGCGAAACGGGTCTGGAGAACGGTCCCAGCATCAAGAGGATAGCTGAGATTGCCGTGGCCTATGCCAAAGCTGGTGCTCACATTGTGGCTCCCTCGGACATGATGGACAACCGGGTGAAGGCCATCAAACAGGCCCTAATCGATGCCGAAATGAACAGTGTCTCGCTGCTGGCCTACTCCGCCAAGTTCACGTCCAATTTCTACGGACCCTTCCGGGAAGCAGCTCAATCCGCACCGAAATTCGGTGACCGCAGGTGCTATCAGCTGCCCAGTGGTTCCAGGAGCTTGGCCATGAGGGCCATCCAGAGGGACGTCGCCGAGGGGGCAGACATGCTGATGGTCAAGCCGGGCATGCCCTATCTTGACATCCTGCGATCCACCAAGGATTCCTACCCATACCACACGCTGTACGTCTACCAGGTGTCCGGGGAGTACGCCATGCTGTATCATGCGGCCAAGGCGGGAGCCTTCGATCTCCAGGAGGCCTTGCTGGAGGCCATGAAGGGATTCCGACGAGCTGGAGCCGATTGCATCATCACCTACTTCACGCCCTTCCTGCTGGACATTATCGGAAAGGTCAAATAAGTTGACAGTTAAAATGCATAACCTTCGATGTCTCAACACCATTTTCAAGTAGATTAGAGTGGACTTCTTTAAGCTATAGTTTCACTTTTTTTACAGATAGTGCAATATTTTAAATGTAATTTATAGTAGATTTTAATTATTTAAAGTAGTACAAAAAAGCTCTTCTATTTGCATTTAGGGACCAACACATTTAAAGGCTATTACTTACATATGAGCATTAAACCATTTAGTTGTCTTTTAGTCTTTAATTTAATATTACCTCCAGTTTTACACGCTACAGAGGTCCACTCTAATCTTCAATCACCATTACTTGTGCTTTTAGTAACAGTGCCTCGCTCCATTCTGCGAAAATACACACACAAACTAGAATGTATATTTTAATGGTCTTATCAATCGTCCGGATTTGGAATTCTAATGGGCCAGGGTACACTCCGAATTTCAATTGCATTGCGAAATTCGAGCAGTCGAACCGGTCGATCCAGTACCACAGAGTCGAAAGTCTTAATCGAAAGCTGTTCGTTTTGTGATGGCAATTAACACTTTAATGTGGACTCTTCGATTGCATTTACAAATGGGGGCTACTGTGAGCACTGAACACTGCCTGGAGCTTACTTGCTAAATTGGTACGAGTTCAAGTCTTACAAAAGGATAAAAATCACAAAATCAAATGCATTAAGTACATAAAACCATTATGTCTGTTTTTGTTTCAGTTTAAAATTCGGCGGAAAAGAATTTGCGAATATTAGCTATTAATAAGACATTATCTAAAGAAGGAAATGTGATAGTTATTCCTCTTAATTTGATAGTAATTTTCCGATCTGCAATTCCCATCTTTTGAGAACATTTCACTCTAAGGAAATCTTACTTTTAAATATTTTCAATTAGCGCAACTAAATACTTTAGTTTTCATCGTAAACATAAACTTAGCCAACTTGGATTCTTCGAAAATTGATAGGAATGGTAAAGAAAACCAAGCCGTGTAGGATTTCTTCAACTCAAGTTCCGCCAAAAAGGAATTAAAATTTAAAATAGAAATCAAAACTAACTAAGGTTAAAACGTAAATTAAAAACAAATTAAGGAAACTATAGCTACACATAATGGAGAGAAAATACTGAGTGCATTAAGGATAAATAGATTGGAATAAAGTGGACCGCCAGCTTTAGGGGCTCTCGCTGCTGTGGATGCGGCTGTGCTCCAGGATGTCGGTGTTCTGCATGGGCTCCAGATCCGTTTCTGAGATGATCTCCGCCAGCCACTGTTCGATCTGGACGGGATGGAATGAATCCTCATCGCCGCTGTTCGCCTCCAGGATGATCTTCAGGTTCTCGAAGTTCTTGAGGATTAGCCGCTTGCCCGGTTGCAGTTGTGGTCCCGATTCGCTTTGTGTAAGCGATGTGGTGGTGGTTGAAACTGGTTCCTTTGTGGGAGCCGACTGCCTGGGATTGGAATTGGCATCGCAGCTGGAATCGGCGGCAGCAGCTTGAACCGGCTCCGTCATTTGGTGGTAAGTCCTGCGCGGCTTCTCCACCATGCTCTTCTTGATCTCGTTGAGCAGGCGATTGTAGAAATCGCAGGTGACATCGTGGATCTCGGTCTCCTCGTAGCGTTGGCCTTGTGCCGGTGTGGGCGTGGATTCAGAGCTGGGTTCCCGATCAATCCTCTCCTGCTTTTTGGTAGCCTTTTGCTTTTTGGACTGCGAACGGGAGCTGGCATTACTGGAGTAATTCGAACTGGAGGCGGTGGTTGTGGGAGTGGAATTCGAAGGTTCGGTGGTGCTGGAATCAGCGGATTTGGCCAGGGGAATCTCTGCACTGACCGCCTCCTCGCTGGCGCAATTGATGGTCAAGCTGGCAATGTTGCGCAGGTTGATGGTGCCATTGCAATTGTTGATGGTGATCTTTGGCTTGAATCGCTGCTTGCGGCTCTTGGTTTTCGGTGGTTCTTGAACGCTGCTCTTGGATTTGGCCGAGGTTTCGCGACCCAAACTGGAGACAGCTTCGGCTATCGAAGATTCCAGCTCATCATCCAGTTCTTCCAAGTTCAAGGGTGGCACATAGGTTTCCCTTTTGATCTTGGCTTTCTTGATCAGATCTTTTGCTTCCTGCAGAGTGATGTTGATGATCGATCGCTTGGCATTGTCTTCCACCAGAGATCTGTTGCGTGAGAAGTCCACCACAATGGCCTCCGGTGGGGCACCATCCTCGTCCAGGTCGAGATACGAGACGTTCCCGTCCTGCAGGCACTTGTACATGGTCTCGTGGTCGTCCAGCGGTTCTATGTAGTCCTCGTTCCTCAGGCCCGTGGTGCGATAGTCCTGCAGCGCCAGCTGCATGTCACTGTTGTCCAGCAGGAAGTGACCATAGCTCCGGATGACGGTCAGCAGCTTCTCCTCCGCATCTTCGCCTTCGCCTGGTACAAATCGCACCCCGCTTTGTTCCTTCTTGGAATCGGAGTCATCCACTTCGGCGGTGGACTTCTTCAGCAACTGCTGCTGCTGCCGCGTATTCGCTATGACCTCCAGTTGCCGCAGGAGCAACTTCTCGCGCATATGCAAAGCCGCACGGATTTCATTGAACTTCTTTTGCACGGTGCCTTTGACCTGAAAAAAAAACAAGGCGTGTATCATGAAAGGCACAGAGTAATCCCATAACTGGGTCATCAAAGGGATTAAGTCTTAATCACGTCGGCTAATCACCTCATCCAGATTCTTGTCCATTTCGTGCGAGCTAATAAACACTTTCTCTTTCTAAGTTTATAGCATTTTTTCCTTAATTCCTGTGTATCAAGTTTTTTGTTTGATCGATCAGCTGGAATTGAAGAGTACCCGCCGCTTTTATCTTTAAAATACCTAACCGCTTTTTAAAGTGCGCACCTTGGAATGGTCATACTTCAAATTTGGCGGGAAAGTATTTTGGCATTTTAAAAATAAGTTGTCTATAATGTTAAAACTAAATTTATTGATTTCTTACCGAAAAATGCTCGAAATGACTTTTAACCTAAGGGTTTTAGAACAAATTAAAATAATAAAGATTTTTTTAGTAATTATGCATTGTTTTGGTTCAAAAAGTTCCAAGCAATTTTACCTTACTTTGACTCTTGTTTTTATAAAAATATTTTGACTTAAGTTGTTGACTGTCGAAAGTTTTTTTCTTTTTTATATTTTTTATTATCAAAAGTTGTTTTTTAACCGTTACGCGACTAACAGAGACTATTGCATTATTTTTGCTTAGCTAAGTTACCCACCACTCCAAGCTGCCACCTTTTTTAACCGGTTAACAGTGAGCAAAGATCGTATTTAGCGGGTATAAGAGAGTGTGCCCGTACGTAAGTCTATATGTTACAGAGCTGTAATAGACGGTTACGCGAATATGACAAAACATTAAAGTTCTCATTTATTTGGTTTATTTATTTCAGACTTTAAGTCAATATAAACTAATCCTAAAGAAGATTAAATTTCATTTGCTGATTTTAAACAGATTTATTTATTCACTTCGTTCAGTTCACCCGATGCTAGGATTACAATTTATAAAATTAATTTATTTAGATTGTGGAACTAAATCAATTTCAATTCATGTGTGTACAGCAGTTATTGACCAGTTATTAATCATTTTTCCACAATAAGATAGGCAATATAAAATGTTACTTTGTGTAATAGTCCGTTTGGTATCATAGCAGCATAATCGTTTACCCTTAACAGAGCTATGTTAAGACGCTTAGAAATGACGATTACGATATTCGTTTTCGAGGTATTTTCACACATTCAGCATTTGGTCTCACCATCGCCAGTTTGTTTTCGTTTCAATTTTGCGTCGGCGGTTCATTTCATTTTTTGCATCGGAGGCGCGCATTTCAATTAAAATCGGAAGAGCGCTATTGCGCACGCTATTCCGTTTTCCGTTCAAAAATATAAAGACGAAAAACATTGGTAAATTCTACTCGGTTTTCATTACAAAAAATCCAAAGAAATGTGACAAAAAAAAATCGGTAAATCCGATATATCGCCGGGAAAAATAAGACTAGATATTGATATTTAGTTTGTGTAAAAACAACTATTGATATTAATGTATTTCAAATATATTTGAGTGTTCCTATTTCTGATAAAATAAGGATTCTAAAAACAATAAATAAAAGTGAACTGTGTAAAACCAAAAGCAAAAACAAAACAAATCGAAAATCACCGCTTCCACGTACTCATCAGCTGTCTTTGTCTTTTATGCCGTCTCCTTTCCACGCGTCGCGGCGCCCTCAAGTGTTTTGGTTTTGTAATTGCCTTTACTTCGCGAAACTGTGCTGATTTAAATGTTTTAAATGTTTTTGTTAAAGCTTATTCTTTAAACTGCATTCGAAACATAACAATTGTCGCGTGGCTTTTGGAAGGAAAAGAAAAAAGCAGCCAGTGTTTAAATAACAATAGTCATCGCTTATTGTTGTTGCCTCAACTAATTTGAGTGTGGGCTTGTGTGTGTGTGTGTGTATGTGTGTGAGGCGTTTGTGTTTCCCTTTATTGTTGTTGTTCTTTGCTCTCACAGACAATAAAAAAAGAAATATTCAGAGAATTTTGAGTTTGTTTCCCATTCGTAAAAGAGAGACACGGAAAAAAGAAGCAACAAACAACACACACAAAAAAATGAAATAAAAAAGGGAAACACACATGCAAAGCAACAAAAGAAAAGGCAAATAAAAGAGAGCGAGAGAGCGCGAACTGTGTCAGTGACGCCAAAAAAATTTTAAAATATCAATAATTGCCTACTAGTGTTTTATTTTCGGTTTGCCGACGCTATAAATTTAATTTGTGCAACTATATTTAATTGGTTCTGCAGCATTGATTGTATTTTATTTGCCTTTCCTGCTTTGCGTTTGCGATTGCGAGACTGTCTTTGCAAATTGTCTTTGCGTCGGCGGGTCGTGACTGGATTCCATTGAATATTTTACAAACATATGTTTGTACGTTTGTAAATCCCATGTGCTTGGGTTGATTTCTTTAAATATGCTTTATTAGAATGCAGTTATACGTTGCTTTTCGCTTTCTTGACTAGCTTTTTGTTTTTACTTCTAGCTTTCCGGTTTTTCTCTCTTTTCTTTCCTCCTATTTTTTGGTTCCATCTTGTTATCATCCGAAAACCAGTTTTGTTTTGTTATTATACCCTTGCAGAGGGTATTATAATTTTGGTCAAAAGTGTGCAACGCAGTGAAGGAGACGTCTCCGACCCTATAAAGTATATATATTCTTGATCAGGATCACCTCCTGAGTTGATATAGCCATGTCCGTCTGTCCGTCTGTCCGTCTGTCCGTCTGTCCGTCTGTCCGTCTGTCTGTCCGTCTGTCCGTCTGTCTGTTTCTACGCAAACTAGTCTCTCAGTTTTAAAGCTATCGAATTGAAACTTTGCACACACCCTTCTTTCCTTTGCACGCAGTATATAAGTCGGAACGGCCGGGATCGGCCGACTATATCCTATAGCTGCCATATAACTGATTGATCGGAAATGCCATAACTTTCGTGTTTGTAAAGTTAGGAAGTTGAGATTTTCTATGGGTTTTATATTTGGCCAATCAATCCGACTCACCAAATTTCATAAGGATCGGCCGACTATATCCTATAGCTGCCATATAACTGATTGATCGGAAATGCCATAACTTTCGTGTTTGTAAAGTTAGGAAGTTGAGATTTTCTATGGGTTTTATATTTGGCCAATCAATCCGACCTACCGAATTTCAAAAGGATCGGCCGACTATATCCTATAGCTGCCATATAACTGATTGATCGGAAATGCCATAACTTTCGTGTTTGTAAAGTTAGGAAGTTGGGATTTTTTATGAGTATTAAGAATGCATTATATGAATAATTTTGGAGAATATAATTTACAGAGTATTCTGCAAGGGTATATCAACTTCGGCTCCGCCCGAAGTTAGCTTTCCTTTCTTTTTTTTTTTTACCTGAGCTCTGACTTTTAAATTCGGAATTACCTCATTTTACACCTCAAGCTCTCAGTGCTTTTCATTTAGTCGCTGCGTCTAAACCATTCAATTAAATCAGTTTTATTCCGCCTGTATTTGTAGGTCGTTGAAAGGCTATTACACTTCGGGGAGTTCACACGTTTCGGTTGTTACCCCAAAAATATATTAAGTTCGGAATTCAGATCGAGAAGAATCGCTCGTAAATATTTATCGAAAAGGGAAAAATAAGGCAAATATCCGGATAGCTTAAACACCTTTGAAATAAACACATACAACATGTAAAAAAATATTAAGAATTACAGTGGTAAACATTTCATTGCTGCACCTATAAAAGATTCTTAAAAAACATGTAAAACCAAACCACTCAAACTGGGAATTACTTTATAAAAATTTAAAATCGGTTATCCAAACATTTGTATCTGCCTACAACTACAAAATGAAACACGCTAAAATAAACTACAAGAGTTTCTCTAGTATTTAATCAAATTTCAATTTACATTTTTCGTACTCCTCTGAAAAAGACTTTATTGAACTTTACAATTTAATCAAACATTTTATTTTAAACCAATTTAAACAGCACAGTTGAAATCGTACTATAGCTATTAAATAAACACCACCATCAAGTGAAAGCAAACCAATGTTCAATGAAATGCTATTTTAAAAACTATGTAAATCTATCGTTCTTTTAATCGAAAATCTATTAAACTATATTTTCCGTGAAATTAACGCGTGTAATCGAAAAACGTACGAGTATTTAATCAACATCGAAGGCGAATGTCGAAAAGTGTTCCGAGGCCAATGTTTCTGCTGCTGGCAACTCATCGTTTAAATTAAATACACAATCTGCAGCGAGGTGAGTTTTATTCGGTTATATTTGCTATTGTCGTGTAACATTCCCCTGACCCTGGCCCCACTATTTGGAGTATGTATTTCAAAGTGCCACCCACTTGTATTTGCCCCATTGAGAGTTTTTCGTAGGCAAGTTATTAACTCCCTATCTCTTTCTGGCACTGAATCGTGTGAATTTATTTACCCGCGATATTGTCGATAATGTGTGATGAGTAATTTCAGTCCAAGTAGGCTAAGTACATAAATATTAACTTGAATGGAGGTGCTAAACATTTTTCAGACATCAATCAGTCTATAGCAAATACATTATATTTGATTACAATATATTATATAATAACAATTATTATATAACTTACATCTAAGTCTTTATACCTAGATTCAACCTACAATTTCTTAATTATATTGCGTAAAGTTGGATATCATGATTCCCACAAAATATGCAACTTGTCATTGCTGAGTTGATAAATGTTCTGATTACTAATCGTTCGAATCATGTTATTGCAAGTATATTCGACCTTTATTTCACCATTTTGTTGGGCAATTTAAATTTATGCTTTACTTCTTATCAAATCAACTTTCAAATGTGAGATAGCTGGTATATAGTAAAAATCAAATTTTATTGACTCGAACTCAGCAAACTTCTCTTAACCTCAAAATTATTTTTATCAGCAAGGAAAAATGCAAAAAAAGCGTTTTTATAATAAATATTTTTTATTTTATTTTTATACTTAAGCCAATAATAAATTCGATTTCACAATCACAATTCCATTTCGGAATCTTTATATCCCAATTGTGCTACAAATAATTGTAATTTCAACTGATTTACGCTTATTTTGTGTCATTGTTGCTTTCAGTTAATTAATGCACATTAACTGCACTTAACACGACGTGGAAGAGAGTATAGGTAATCCTTTTGTTCGGTGATTTTAATAAGTTAATTTATATTGAGTTCCCATCGATGACGCCTTGTCGAGCACTGACAATTGCTGAATTGAATTGAGTGGCAATTATTAAATTTACTGTAATTGCAAATTACAATGCAATTAATCAAAGCCTCGAATCGGGTGAAATCGAAACCGCTTTAACAACTGGAAATGCGATTGTCTGTCTATCTATCTATCTGTGAGCTTGGATGCTGCTGGATCGGAGGAAGAGCGTCAAACCAATCCAAACCAAACCGCATTCAACAATTGCAGAGTTCTCCGTTCGTTGGGTATAAATTCATTACTCGGCTTTAATTAGTTTCAATTTGCACACGCCATCGAGATATCGACGGGGTCAGAGTAGTAGAATTTCGACCAATTGTTTGCCGTTTCAGTTTTCTATGTTTTTGCGAAATTATTTTTCAGTTTTGTGCAATCAAAACGAATGAACAATGTGCAATATTTTGATTCACACGATTTTAGCAATTCTGGATGGCAGGCAAAAATAAATTAGAAATATGCATGGCCAGTTTAATTGTAAATAACTACTACGACACAAGTAAAACAGAACTAAAATGCTCGTATTTATATGCATTTAATTGAAAGCTAGATGTTGTGTGCGTAGAAATATTTTGCAATAACTTTGGTCATTGTGCACTCTGATATTTAATCCGTATTGCAAAGTGGCTTTCGAAATGTTTGCCAATTGCAGACTTTTGACTTGTGAATTTTTATTACTGCCCGTCGACCCCTTGACACTCCAATTTTCCCCAGAGAGTTGAAATTTGCATAACAAAGCCGCTTAGCCCCGAACCTCTGCTGGCGGCATATTTTTGTATTCATGATTGATGGCTGCGGCTTCCCATATATGTATAGATACGTTTAAATAGGGCATTTCAATCCCGGAAAGGCCACAAGTGCAGTACTTTTTATCTCACTTGCAATTAAACTTAATCACTTGTTCACAATTAACATGGCAGCTGCGATAATTTCGTGTTCGTGTTCGTGTGTTTATGGCCATTAGCCGGACATAAAAATCCTGTTACCCCCGAAATGATACGGCCGGAATGGAGCCCATTTCAATGCCGGCTGCCCGCAAGCACCAGAACATAAAAATCAAATCAAATTACATTACTAATGCGCCGCGTTGTCCGCGACTAGGCCACATTCATGCTTAACCCACAGGCATTTGCATTTATTTTGCCAATTTATTCTAGCGGCTGCAACCCCCGAAAGCCCAGATTCATACATATATCTCTCGATTCGGACCCGGCCTAAGCTGGTTTTACTTTTTATTTTTTGTATTTTCTGCTGGCTTTCTAGCGCTACCTTCGCGTGCGTGTGTGAAGCGCTTGCTCCCCCCAAAAAGCAAGCTGGTGACTCATGGAAATGTTCGCCGCGTTGTCCTTTTCCCGAGGACGACGGCTGTCCTGGTCGTTTTGGGTTTTTACGGCTTGAATCATGCATTTTTTACCATTCCTGGCTTTTTATTGGCTACCATTTTTTTCGAAGCGAATGCGTTTGGCTCGGCGTGGATTTGCTTTTATTAGCGGGTCTCGAGTGGGCGGTTTGTAAACAGCTTGAGCACAGATCATAATGTCATTCAAACGGTTTTACTGCACCAAGGGGACACTTATTTGCCACGCATATTATTTGCAAGGTTCAGTAGTCAGTTTATTTGCTTTTAGCGTAATTGTTTAATTGAGGTCCTTGATTTTTTACTTTCAAGCATCTTTTTAAGGTCTAAATATATGAACATTCCTTAAAAATCCACAAAATGGCAAGCAACTTTTATTGAACCCTAATAACTTTAATGTAAGGGTCTTTTTAATGTTGTATCGCATGTATTATTTTAAATTCATAGTAAATCAAGTTGAGTATGATGGATTGGTTGTTGACTTGCTTAAATTGTAATAATAAAGTTGGCAATTTATTCATTTGTCGCAATTTTGTTTTTTAAACGTTCGGAAGAGACATGATGGATGTGCTCTACAGCCTTATTTATTTCCTTTTCTTGCTATTTTGGTTGGGAAATGGGATGTTTAATTTGATTCTAATTCATCTGCGACCATCATTCGTAATCCGTATCGGGTTTCGCAATATGTGACCCAACAAAAGCCCGAATCGACTGGCTACTCGATTGATGCTTGCCAATTTACCGAAATATCCCTGCTAAAAAAAATAGGGGGAAGTGCATTTTTTGTGCAGCCAATACTAATGCGCCATGATTTATTAAAAAATCGGCCACTCTACCGCACACATGACCGAATACCCAAGCGGACTGATTGGGAGGATGGACACGAGAACCAGACCCACTCGATGGCAGGAGCACTCGACTATTCATCTAGAGCAGACGGTCCGACAAGTAATCTCCTTAAAATGCAATTTGTTTTGTTGCAATCAACGATTTTTGATGATGACGACGCCGACGAGGACTGGTCAGGAGCAAAGGAGGAGCAGGAGCAGCGGGTCAGGACCTGGCGATGACGATGATGATGGTGATCGAATGCGAGTTGGGTAACAATTTGCAGCGTGGCCAAATAAATTGGTTGTTACTCGGCCCGAACTCAGCTATCCCGCTCTTCCGACCTTCCGCCCTTCTGCCCCTCCTAAAAAAAAATGATGGAGATGAAAACAAAATTCGTAGGATGCTTCTGGTTTTTTACGAGCCCCACACTTGGCCCAAAACGCTTGGCTGCCATCCTGATGCATGGCCCTGGCAATGCGGTCCGAGCGTTGCGACAGCCCCAAACTGCCCCACTGACGGATGGATGGATGGTTGGAGTACCTGAATGACCGGCCAATGAAATGAATGAATCACAAGCAAGAGTCCAGTCCCTCAACCCCCCGCCCCTTTGCAAAAATGCAACGCACACAGGCGGGCTCAAAAAATACGAAAGCAAACAGTCTACTCGTTTTTGTTCACCTATCACATTGGCATAGAAGCTTATTTGGCGTGAGTGGTCATTAATTTTTAATCTTAACACGTCATAGAAGTGGCGATTATAAAATATACATTATTTTGAGGGGCTTATTACTAAAGGTTTCCACGTGATAACACAAATTGGAAAGACGTCATATTTATTTTTTAATTGGTAAGTTTCCAGTCAGTTGGTTTAGACTCTTTACTATAGATGCTTCTTTACACGTCGTTACAATATAATAAAGGCTTATTAGTAAATACTTCCTATTTCCACATCAAACATTCTTCTAATATTTATTTTATTTAAAAAGTTACTTTTCCCAAAGTAAAAGCAGGTGTCCCTAATGTTTTTAAATATTGTGTATTTTGTTTGCATTTTATTGTTCACAAAAGTAATTTAAAAAGTGCTTAAGAACGTAGTAAAATGTGAAATGTTCTAATAAAGTCAGTGTTTTTATTACGAGAAATACGAATTTCACAACCTTTATATACAAATCGGAATGAAGTTAAAACTAACTTTATGATGAATGACGTTTGCAGCGTTTAAAGCAAAGATTTCCGAAAGCAGATTGTGTTTATCAAATTAATTAAGATAGCAGTAGAATCAAAGTAAAAATATCTTTAAAGTATCAATGTGCGAATTTAATTGAAATGTTTACAGAGTCGAGCAACGATTGCACACCTTTGTTTGTCAGTCAGTCTTTTGAGCAGCGTTACACCAGAGTTACGCGTTTACGAGGGTCACTCGACCAGTTGTTGGCCTACCTTTGCTTTCCCCTTTTCGGCCCTCGGTTGCATAGTTTATTGCGTGTTTTCCAGTAACAGATTTGTTTGCGTTCCCTTTGTTTGTTTGCCCAATCCCCGTATTCTCTGCAGTTTTTTTTCCTGAGCTCCCCTGTCCGACGTGAACTATTTTATTTGCCTGCACGTATCAGAAGCGTGTTTCAATTTGCACAAAAATTCACATGTCGATTGCTGCTCCATCCATCCGTCTATCTGAGATTGATTTCTAGCACGGGTATTTGTCTGTTCTCTGCCTCTCGGTCTATCTTTCTATCTAACCATCGGTGTGTGCCTCCTGACTGTTTTTCCATCTGCTTGGTTGAGCTGGCAACAACGCGTATACGCAATGTGAACTTCCCTCCTGCATATTTCTGC